TTAAGGAGTAACTTGATTTATGCACCAATGTTAGTTTCTTGATTTAATAAGGTTGATTTTGTAACGGTTTTAACAACCACGGTACATAAATAATTAAAACAGATTGTGACCTGGCTTCCACTTAAATTATAATATAGAATTGGGTAGTTAGTCGATTCTTTAAAAAATTTAAACTCAAATAATTGAGTAAAGTCATTTTAAACGTAAACTATTAACAACTTTAAAAAATTGGTGATTTTATAGAACACAATTAGTATATTTTAACATAATTATTTATTAAGAAAATGGCGAAGGGGCTCTTACCAATTTCGACATACCTTTCCTAATGAAGAAACCTGTTCTGATTGGCACTTTCATCCGACGGTATTAATGTCGCTTCATTGATGAATAAAAACTTGCAAGCCTGGGGAAAGGTCAACTAGCAAATCTCGAATCCAATGATTATCTTTTTTTAGTCAAATCTCAGCTAAGTGGTACTCAGTGAAAATTAATTCCTAATTCATAACATTTCATTTCTTCATTCGTATTAAGTTATTATTTATGGTAATTACAGAATGGTACACAGTAGTTGTACCATGGTAGTTACAAATAACCAAAGACTATCTTAAATTCGATAAGATATTATGGATACGTGACCTACAACATTTTAGGCTTTACAGGGTTCCCACGACCTGGAAAACATAAATCAGTAGTAGCTAAAATTTGTCATGACTACTGATAGTGCTTAAATCTAGCTTTCATTTTAGGATTACGAAATTATTCCAGAGGTATTTTTTGTCCCTATATATATTTCCTTTAAAATAAAAATTTATTGGAAGCTTGAAACATCTAGATTTATCTCACTTTTTGCCACCACTTAAAAAAATTTTCTAGATAGTGGGAGCCGTGCTTTTAAGAAATATTTTTTTCCAGTGGTAGTGAAATTTTTAAAAGGAATATAATTTTTATAATTCTATTATAGAACTTAAGTATTGTAGAATAGAGCTTAAATATTTGATTATATTGGCGTTTTAAGCTTAATCTATTTCAATTATTTATACATAGCTACCAACAACTACGAACTGTCCGTAGTATTTCATTTTTGTATTTAAAGTGGTAATGAATCCTATATATTTCTTTTTAGTTCTTGGATTCAAAAATTTAATTAAATATCATTTTTACAACCATTACGTGCAATTAAATTAATCCTATATATCAGTGCAAGTTACAGGACATAGCAAAGCCATACCAATGACCAGGGCTGAAAGCTCATATATATCGAGACGGAAAAGTATAAAAACTGGTAACAAATAAATTTCATTTTTTAGCTTTTTTTCAGGAATAATATAAATCCATAACTACCAATTGTTTTTAACGGATGCAATTTTTATATTGAATTGCTTCCTTGTTGAGAAAAAATTAATTACAGTGAATTGTTTATTGTTCAGAATAGATTAATTCCTCTCGAATATCAGGGCTAAAGAGAATAGAAGGGCTGGTTCACTCCTTTGAAGTAGCTCTCGCCGCGCCAATCCTCCGATTTTCTCTAGTGACGTCACTTTGGCGCAAAGCTCGCACTTTTACTTCAAGAACGGAGCGTTCGGCCTTACTAGCTCTTACTAATATTGGAGCATTTCTTTTTTGCGAGATATTCTAAGACATTTGTTATTTTCTATAATGACTTTCCTCAGTTTTTGCAATGAATTTACAAGAATTTAAAACTATTATCGAAATGCCAGTTTGCGCGATTGCAACTTGCAAAAATT